TTTAAGTTTAGTTCTTTTTTTGTTTTTTTTTTATATTTTTTTATTTCTTTTTTTATATCGAAAAGCCTTACGTTATTATACTTATATGCTTTCGATTTATTATATACGAGCATATTATATATATAAAGCGGACCTTATTCGAAAGCTAATTAAAAAAAGCATACGAAAAATCTATTGCATTAATTATTTAGCAAGCTGCTAATACGCGATAAAAACCTTTTCGATTTTATAATTTAAAATTAAATAGAATAATGCGAAAGCTTCTTATAGCACTTTAAGCACTGCTTTTACCTTTCGAAGACTTACCGATATTGCTATAACTCGAACCTTTTATAAAACTATAAGTATTGCTACAGCTAAAATCTCGCGAAAAAGAACCATCGATATTGCTACGATTAAAAGCTTAACGAGCACTTTAGCGGAGCTTTTTCGCTTAAAAAGGTATTAGCGATTGCGAAAATAAAGATAAGCGAATCAAAGACTTTTCGGCAATCTATCGTAATTAAATCGAAAAAAAATTATAAAAAGTTCGCAATATATACTTACGCGGCTAAAAAAGTTATTTAGCAAAGTATTATTTCGATTTATTATAGCTAAGATTTAACGCAGCAAGTCTAGCGAAGCTAAATCGGCGGTAGCAGCGGCGGCAAATAAGCGTAACGCCGAAACGAGACTTAAGCTAGCTAAAAGACCTTTAATATTAGCGGCGGCAAAAGAAGCAGCAGCGATACGAGCTCGAAAAAAAAAAAGCATTATTAATTCGAAAAGCAAAAGCGCGACGGGTTTTTATAAAAAAATTATTTATAATTATGCTTTTACGAAAAACGTCGTCGGCCGTTTTAATTTTATTATTTATAGCCGTTATCGCATCTATTAAAGCTATATTAATACCGACGATTTTTACGAAAAATTATCGAATCGAAATTAAAACGAATATAAAACAAAGAGTAAAATAACTTACGAAGATGCAAGTTGATTTAATAGTATAATAACGCTCGCATTTAATAAAAGTATCGAAAGAAAAGATGCATCGATTCGCGGCATTATCGATAGTTTTGCTTGCGTAGCTTACGCATCGAAAATAAATCGAAAACATAATAATAAAAAATAAGATTATTAAATAATAATACTAAAAGAAAAATAAAAAAGTATAAAGTTAATATAAAAAGAAGATTGATTGTTTATAATAAGACCTCGAGTATATATTGCCGCTTTTGTTTTTTTTATTACGTTATCGCTTTAAGCTTCGCGTTATTATCGATTCGGCAATGCGTTATTATTTAACCGCTTAAACTAGCGTACGCTTATCTTAATAATAATACTAACGCTCGGATTGATATTGTTCTTATAATTAAATAAAAGTATTATAAAAAATATAAAAAAAAGTTAAACTCGAAAAATTATCTTGCATTTTTCGTTGCTATTTTTATCTTTTTCATTATATTATATACGCTTCGTATTAATACCGATCCGGCGATGCATTATTAAGTAATATTTTAAAACTATATTGCGACCGTGCAATTCGGCTATATGCTCGTCTTGCAAACTTAATCCTATTACCTTAATAAAAGGTGACTCGAAAGCGAGTTTGATTCGAAAGAAGGACGTATATAATAAAGTTGCGGCTTTATATTTGTTTTATTTATATATATAATATTAATGCTAAGCACTTTTATCACGTAAGTGCGCTGCATGCTTTAGCTTTATTAAGCACGTAATTAAATCACGTGCAAGCTCTTATATAAACGAGTAATTGGTTTTTTTTTAAACCAGCATAATATTACTACACAATACAATATACGTATTCACAGCATACATTCGAATGCCTTTCGATCGTCCTCCTTTTCCCCTTTTATTTACTTACGATTCTATTATGGCTATATTCACATATATCTTTTGATTTGACGTTGGGTATATGTCGGGGCTCTTCCCCTCCATAGTAGCTGCCAGTTTGGTTAGTCCATTGTTGTTTTCCACTACCCCACAGTACCTGGCAAGCTTACTTTCTATTGCCGACGTTGGATTTCCGGATGTTCTCGTAAATTGTAGCCATTGTTTTGAAATGGCGGGGTCGATTCAGAGGCTCAGGGGTATTTTAGCGAGACTTGCCGAATCCCACGCCAAGCCCGGCATCTCCACTGCAGCCTCGAGCTCTCTTCGAACATCAACACAACAGCTGCATTGCTCTCACCACACCGTACCGCCGCGTCGACGACAACCATGGATGAAATAATCGAGCAACTCGATACGACGACTATAGTCTCCCTCGGCGCCGTGGTCGTAATCCTTACCACGTCCTACCTCCTCTCGCACGCCCTTCTTTCCCCCAACACGCCGTCCCGCCTACGCATCCTCTTCATCTGGCACTTCTTCGACTTCCTGATCCACTCCATCTTTGAAGGCTCCTTTCTCTACAACTGCTTCTTCGCGTCCGCGCCCTTTGATCCCGCGGTGAACCACCCCGCGCTCGTAACGAACTTCCTGGGCCAGCCGGACAGGGTCTTCGGGAGCCGGTATGCGGACAACTGGGCGAGCGGGCTGTGGATGGTGTATGCGAAGGCGGACAAGCGCTGGGCAGAGGCGGACCTGACGGTTATCAGTTTGGAGCTGTTGACGGTGCTGGGGGCAGGGCCGTTGGCCTTGTATATCTGCTACGCGATTTACAAGAAGGATGCGATGAGCGCGTTTTGGATGGTGGTGTTGGCTACCGGGGAGCTGTATGGAGGTTTGTGGCTCCCTGGATTATCTGCGCAGGAGATAGAGAGAGTGCTAATCTCTGTGCAGGCTTCATGACCTTCTGCCCCGAGTGGTTGACGGGCAACCAGAACCTCGACGCGAGCAACTTCATGTTCAAATGGGTGTACCTGGTCTTTTTCAATATGCTGTGGGTCTTCCTGCCTCTCTATGCGATGTACCATGCGTATGTGGATATGAGGAATGCGTTCCTGGTTCGGCACGGGGTGGTATCGGCGAGTCTGAAGGCCAGCGAGGGTGCGAAAAGAAAGTGAAGCCCTCTGATCTTTGGATACTTTGCACAAAAAAAAAAAAAGATAGCACGGAGGAGGGGGGGGGGGGGAGGCGCTTGGAATATACCCATGAAATTTTACCTTGGACACCAGGAACATGCTCCATAGCAATGGGCAGGAGTTTTATTTGGCAGATTTCTTTGTCCTGGCCTCTCTTTGCAATATTTAAGGGTAAGTGCTTCAATCGAATCAAACCACTCAATAGCGTTGACACCGCGAATCCGTTTGGATTTGATCAGTGCTAGGGAGTGGCTGCCTGTGCTTCATGGCTCCGATTCTAGTAAGTCTACCTTCACCGGATGCTGCACTTTTCTTCCGCGGGTGTTCCTGGAAGTAGTGGTTCTTGTTCTTACTGTCAAATCTTCGCTTGCTGCCATTACCCTTTACTATTGCGGTCTTTTCCGTCCAGATCTCAGTAGATAGATTGAGCTCAGCATTGCTCAGCAGCCAGCCATAACACAGTCGCCGTGTATCGTGCCACTACATGGTGCAGCCATGTTTAGAAGATCACATAACAGGACCCAGCGATGCACACGCATCACCTTCTGTAATCTTCCGCTTAATATGATTTATCGTTGCAGATCAAAATATAAAGACCTGCGAAGTCCTTTTATGCGCTGGAATGGACTGGTCAGAACATCGCTGCTTATTCTATTCTATCTATTCAATCTGTCGCCCTTTTATCTGTAGATGAATCCCGACTTCCCCTTTCTTCATAACGTTGAAACTCATACGTCTTTCTCTAGGCTGTTTCCGAGGGTATGTCGGAATCAGACGGGCTCTTTCGAGAGAGAGAGAAGTCAGACTATATCGTTTAAAGCAGCAGGAGAGTATTCCCAGGTTTCCCTGTTGTAAGTTGTGTATCTATACTATAAACAAAACCCCTCAGCCATATCACGATCAGCAAGTCCGCAAGCCAGCGTGGAAATGCGAAATGGAAGTGGTAGTTCAATGTCAACCAGTCTATTCTATTTGCGGAACCTGAAGTTGCTGCTGTCAGTCTCGTTTTGGCTGTTATTACTCTATGTACCGTACTCCTTTGAAAGGATATCATCTGTGTGTCAACACACCAATATAACAACACATGCCACTTCTTCCCCCGTTCGTCAGACGCAAGCGGGTCCTCGCGCTGCATTCTCTGCACCACCTGTCTGCTCTACGGACAGACTGCATGCGCCGTCACGGTACGCTACCTACTCGACTCGCCTCGCGAATCGCATATAGGGGGGGCCAGAAGCAGAACTATTCCACCCACCCGCCCCACACTCAAAACGAACCACAGTAAAAGCCCAGCTGGTATTCCCGACGCTTCTCAAGCCCAGCTCTGTATCTATCATGGAGTGGGTGAGAGCCCGTGACCGAGAACGCTTACGTAAGGTCGCTAGAAATGTGTTCTTATTCAAATAGAAGAAGAGAGGATGATTATTCTTTTAAGATGTACAAAAGGTTTTATACTTTTGAGGTGCGCTAGTGAGTCGTGATATTATTAATGATAGTCTTTCCTTCCCCGAGCTCTCTGTGGCGTGACGTCTTTCGTGCATTGTGATATTGACACCTGTTGGCATTAGCATTGGCATTAGCTTTGGTATTAGATTTACTATCAGTACTAGCATTATCGAGAATGCAACTGTTGTCGACTCTAGAAAAAAATCGCGTCCAGTCCAGTCCAGTCCCGCCCGAATCCAGGCTCTACTCATCGTGTGTATACAGCCCAGTCAGTGTCAGCGCGCATCTACCTACTGCCTTCCAAAACGAATCTTGCTCTCCTGTCCTTTCCCTCCCTTTCTCTGGCAGCTCGAAGAAGGGAGGAAGGAAGGGGAGCGGGACATTTCGCTGAATGCTAGTTTCTTTTGCCGCGTGCCCTGGTTTCTTCTCTAGTAGCGATTTGGAATTTTGTATGACGCGGTCTGGTTATTACTCTATGAGTGATAAGTAGTGGATGTTCGTTCCTCGCGGTGGGTTTTTCTGTTTGGCTGGCTGGCTGGCTGGCTGGCTGGCTGCTGGTGAATCATAACATGGTAGGTTTACAGTCAATTGCCAATTCGGGGAAAGGGTCTTCTGAGTTGAGCGAGACAGTGAGTCAGGAAATTCAATTCGATTGTGCTGAAATTCAATATCATTCCGTAAGTTCAGAAATGGGATCGGAAAGGAAGAAGAAGAAGAAGAGAGAGAGAAGAAGAAGAAGAAGAGAGAGA